GGCGGCGGCGGGCTGGGCAGCGGCTGCCGCCGCCGCACGGCGGGCCTTCTTCGTGGCGCGGTCCTCCACCCTGGCGATGAGCTGCTGGAGCTTGGGCTTCGCCTGGGCGACTTTCCGCATGATCTCGTAGTCGTCCTCGTCGAGGTCGGCAAGGTCGCTGATGTTGGACGCGTCGTCGCTATCCGCCATGGACATGTCATCATCTGCGGCTGCTGGACTCTGGTTGCCCACGCTGGCTGCGTAGGCGCGTCCCGCTGCTGCCGCGGCCTCCTTGGCCTGCACCAGCGCCATGGCTGCCGTCGACTGAGATTGGATCGCGTCCTGAAGCTGCTCTTGAAGATGTAGAACACATTCGTCTGCTGCATCTTTGTGCCTAGATGCCCGTTCAACTGCTAGCTGCCGTAGCTGAAAGGCATGGCTGAGGGACTTGGGTGTCGGACCCTCCTCCTCCTCCTCCTCCTCCTCCTCCTCCTCCTCCTCGATTATCCTCGATGTTCCTCGATCCTCCTCCTGCTGCTCCTCCTCCTCCCCCTCCCCCCCATCGTCTTCCTCCTCTTCGTCGCCCTCCTCCTCCTCCTCCTCCTCCTCATCCTCCTCCTGCTCCTGCTCCTCCTCCTGCTGCTCCTCCTCCTGCTCCTCCTGTTCGTCCCCTTCCTCCTACTTCTGCTCCTGCGGCAACCATGTCCTCAGCAGGATCTCCGTCAACCATCACCACTACCACCACCATCACCCTCATCACCCTCGCCTTACTCTCTCTTCTTTTTTTTTTTTTCTCTCTCTCTCTCTCTCTCTCTCTCTCCCCCCAACAAGCCGGACTCGGCCCTGCCGTCGAGACCGGCCGGGGCCGGTCCTCTACCTCGGCAAAGCGCTGGTGCAGCCCCTGCTCCAGCCGCTGCTCCAGGCGCTGCTCGGCCGTCGCTTGCGCCTGCCGCGGCCCGCAGGGCTTGCGGCTCCCGCCCTTTTCGTCCCTCCCCCCTCCCTCCTCCTCCCGCTCTGCCCCAGCCCCCTCGATCCCTCCAAGGGGGGCCTCGATCCCTCGAGGGGGGCCCTCCCCCCCCCCCTCGACGAGGCCCCCCTCCCCTCTCGATCCCTCGAGGTCCCCCCCCCTCGATCCCTCGAGAGGGGGCCCTCCTGCCCCCCTCCACAATTAAACAATAGGAATACTACTGTCCTCTCTCCCCTTGTGGCGACCGGGAAATGGCCGGCCCCCCTCCGCGTACTGGCTTTTTGCACACAATATTTCCCAGATGCGGGTTTTCGCTGGGTTGTTTTCCAACTGCTGCCCTCGCTGAAGCCCTGGCCTCATTTCCGGGTTACCGCTCGTTCCGAATGGTGCTCCCGCTGCAGCGCTGGCCTCATTTCCGCGCTTCCACTCGTTCCGAATCGTGTTCCCGGTGCAGCGCTGGCGTCATTAGTTCCAGTGCCATGCCAAGGCATGTTTCTCGGTCCCAAAATCTAAACAGAAAGCCTCCAGAAGAAACCATCGGAAGTGATTACACATTCGGTGCCGATTGTTTGATTTGTTGGGCCGCAGAAGACCCCCCTCATTTTGGGGCGTCGTCACGCCATGCTGTGTCATACTACGCGTCAATCTTCAACACCATGCTATGCCATAGAATGCTACGCCATGCTGCGACACCCGATTGGGCGAACAGGGAGGAGATCTGCGCCATGGTAGGGGACGGGAGGGAGGGGTAGGACGTCAGATCTGACGTGAGCGCACCTAGCTTGCCCCTCCCCCCTCCCTCCTTCCACTCTTCCCCCCCTCCCTCGATCCCTCGAAGGGCCCCCCCCCCCCACCCCCCTACCCCCCCCCCCCCCCCCTCCCCCCACCTCTCCCCCCCCCTCCCCCCCCCAACAGTGACCCCATCGAAGAAGGCCGCCCCCCCTCTCGACCCCTCGAGGCCATCCCCCCACTCCCGTCCCCTCGATCCTGCGATAGGGGGCTCCTGCCTCCCCCACAATTACTCATATGAATATACTCTCCCTATTCCCCTGATCGGCGCGCTTGTCTTTTGCATATCGCCCCCCACCCCCCCGAGTACTGGTTTTTTACACACACACACACACACACACACACAGGCATCCCCGGAGTTGGGTTTTCGGCCTGCGTCTTTTTCCAAAATGCTGTCTCGCTGAGGGCCGGCCTATATTCTGCCCGAATCGTTCCGAATCGTGCTACCGTTGCAGAGCTGGCGTATGTTCGGATTCGGTGTTTTGCCTCCGTCGTTCAGGATGGCGTTCTCGCCCCAGCGCGGGCCTCTTTCACGCGCGCCCATCCGCCCGCCACCACCGCGCCGCACACGCCCCGCCCCGCCGCACGCACACCCACCGCCACTTCCACCCACCAACGCACGCACGCACGCACGCACGCGCACCACCACCGCGCACCGCCACCACCACCGCACTACCCCACCCACCACCACCACGCTACACCGCGTCACACCACATCACACGCGCGCACACACAGACACACACGCACGCACGCACGCACGCACGCACGCCACGCACACGCACACGCACACGCACACGCACACGCACACGCACACGCACACACACACACACACACACACACACACACACACACACACACACACACACACACACACACACACACACACACACACACACACACACACACACACACACACACACAACCACACACACACACACACACACACACACACACACACACACACACACACACACGCACACACCACCACCACCGCCACCACCACCACCGCCATCACGCACGTACGCACCTGGCCCACCACCAAACCACCAAGACGCCACACCACGTCACACCACAGCACACGCGCACACACGCACACACACACACACACACACATACACACCACCACCACAACAACCACAACCACGCACACACGCACGCAGCACGCGCACCACCACCCACTACGCACACGCGCGCGGAGCCACAGGTCCGCTACGACACGCGTCCGCGGATAGAGAAAATCAGCGCCATGGTAAGGGATGGGAGGGAGGGGTAGGATGTCAGATGTTGACGCGAGCGCACCTAACTTGTCCTGCCCCCCCTCCCTCGATCCCTCGAGGGGGGGCCCTCCCCCCCCTCTCCGCCTCCGCCAGCTCGCCGAGGCGCGCGTCCACCTCCAGGGCCCGCTGCTCGCGGCGCGCCCCCTGGGCGGGCGCGATGGGGGGCCGGGCGGCACGGGCTCGGGAAGCCGGATCGGGCTGGAAGTGGCGTCACGGGTCCAGGCTGAAGTCGGGCCCGTCCTCCTACAGGGGGATTGTGGACGAAAGTTAGAAGCAAACAAGAGACTGCGTGCACAAAATGGCACATTAGTAAGGGGAAACAGTTAACCGCCGTTATGGCAGTACTCCTTCACAACGGCTTCCCAATCACTCTGTGGCCTGTGGCACAGCAGTGTGTTGAGCCTCTCTTCATTGCCAGCAGCTGCAAGCGCGTGCTTGAAAACACCCTTCGCCCAACTAGTTTTGGGTCTGCCGCGGCGCCTTTGGCCCGCCGACTCTAGGCTAGCCCCCCAAAATACCCCTCTAAATGGGCAAAAATAGTCCAACAGATCGTCCCTGGACCATGTTTTGACTATTTTTGAAGATTCATCCTGTAGAGGGACAGGCCCGACTTCAGTCCAGGCCCAGGCGTGCTCGCGGCGTGGCAGAGATCGGGTCGGGAAATTGTCCCTCGTTTTAAGGAGGCCGCTCGGGGCCTTCGCCAGGCCATCAAAAAACTGCTCAGGATGACAACAAGCGGGTGCAGGAGAAGGGGTCGGGACATCCTGGGATCCCGTACTGAAAGAAACAAGACACTGTATGTCTGGGATCTGGGAAGCCCTTCCCCTTCCCGCATCCTCCCACTTGAGCCCTCTTCCTGCTTCTTGTCTCTGTGTCCTTCTCCTTCTCCTTCTCCTCCTTATTCTCCTCGCTGGGCCTCGTTCGTCCTCCTTTCCTTCACCCTCCACCTGCCTTCCCCCTCGCGGGCAGAAGCGGCGCTTAAGAGCCTGTCGGCTACGGATCGGGAAACCAAATCAAGATCCGGACTGAGCTCCAAGCGATGTAATTGTTTCACTCCGGGCGGTCGCGCCCAGTTTCGGCCCCCAAGACCATCGCAAGTCGATCCGACTCGACAAGTCCAGCAGGAAGATGGGGTCCAGGGCTCTGGTTTTGTTGTCCTGCGATGCTGAATTTTGAATCGTGACGTCGGATCTCAAGGAAATCTAACACGAAGCGCGGACGGGGAATAATCGGACCAGGGCACAATGGGAATCTCCAAGATTTAGCGGTCCTGGAAGGTGTCTCGGGCGCCGCGGTCGCTCCAGAGCCACTACATCCTGGTAGATATCATGGCCCCGCCATGATATCCACACCCTGGCTAGTCGTCCCCTCCCTTGGACCCGGGGACGGGGAGGTTCACGCCTGAGGACGATGGGCGTGGCCAGCGTGGTGCGCCGAACCGACGTGGGCCAACACTGGCAGAACGACGCGCTGAGCAGAGGTTCTTCGCTTTAGGATTCGCGAAACATTCGAACCGAATCGGATCGCGCCAGCCAAATCCGGCGTCGAATCGGCACCGGGCGGGCCAGGCTCGACAAGGGGCCCTGCAGGGTGGGGCGAGCCACACTCCTGCAGCTGCGGGAGCGAGTCGGGATCGGACCCCCCTCCTTGTCGCGGCGCCGCCGAGAACTCCGCCAGTGTCCAGTCTGGCCAGTCTGGCTACCTCGCAGAACCAGGCCCCTCTCCTTTCCTCCGCCCTCCCTCCTCGGCCCTCGTTCCTCCCTCTCACCTATGTCTCCGTCTCCCTCTTCTCCTCCTCCTCTTCGCCTCTCCTCAGTCATCATTCGCCCTGGATCTTTTTTGGGATCGTCCGAAGACCCCTATCACGGGCCCCAGAGCCCCCAAAACCGATGAAGGATGCAGGGATCCAAAGAATCACCTCGTCGGAACTCTGGGCCTCCTTTGTGGCACCGTGGAGTCCCAGCCCCTCCCGCCCCCTCGATCGGACCCAGGGGCCCCAGGAGAAAGGCGGAGGAGCAGCGCGAAGGCGCGGAAGAAGGTGGCGAGGAGGAGGAGAAGGCGGAGGAGAAAAAGGAGGAGGAGGAGGAGGAGGAGAGGCGGCGGAAGGGGAGGAGGAGGAGGAGGAGGAGTAGGAGGAGGAGGAGGAGGAGGAGGAGGAGGAGAGGAGGAGGAGGAGGAGAGGAGGAGGAATAGGAGGAGGAGAGGAGGAGAGGAGGAGGGGGAGAGAGAGGAGGAGGAGGAGGGGGAGGCGGTGGAGGAGGAGGAGGAGGAGGAGGAGGGGAGGAGGCGGAGGGGGAGGAGGAGGAGGAGGAGGAGGAGGAGGAGGAGGAGGAGGAGGAGGAGGAGGAGGAGGAGGGAGGAGGGGGGAGGGACCGAAAGGGCGGGAGCCGCAAGCCCGGCGGGCCACGGCAGGCGCGAGGTACGGCGGAGCAGCGCCTGGAGCAGCGTTTGGAGCAGGGGCTGCACCAGCGCTTTGCCGAAGTGGAGGACCGGCCCCGGCCGGTCTCGATGGGAGGGCCGAGTCCGGCTTACTGGGCGGAGCGAGTAGGGCGAGGGTGATGAGGGTGATGGTGGTGGTAGTGGTGACGGTGATGGAGATCCTGCTGAGGACATGGGTGCAGCAGGAGCAAAAGTAGGGGGAAGGGGACAAACAGGAGCAGCAGGAGGAGGAGCAGCACGAGGAGGAAGAGGAGGAGGAGGAGCAGGAGGAGGAGGAGAAGGCGGAGGAGGAGGAGGAGGAGGAGGAGGAGGAGGAGGAGGAGAAAGAGGAGGACCATTTGGACCATTTGACCAAGCACAGTCGTGCGGGGGGGGGGAAGAGAGGGAGAGGAAGGCATAACCCCGAACGGGGGTGCTTTGGTGACGCGGAGCCCCGCCTCACCGCCACACCCTCGCAACCGCTATTGGCCGGTTTGCCCTCCGCAGGAGGGCCAACTTTCCAGCAGTGGCGGGCGGTCCCCCGTCCCCTCCCAGGGGCCCAGCGGCCCTCCCGCACGCTCTCCACAGGTTTCCGAGGTCACGCGCATCGAGGGCAGCCTGCAGGGCCCTCGGTACCCCTTCTCTGCGGAGATATTTGCCCTCCTCGATGCGGCTTCTATTCTCTCGGACCTTTCGGGGAATGCCCTCACGCTTGGCCGCCAAGTGGCGCCCATCAGCCGTGGCATACTTGCCACAGGTGGTGCACAAACTCATGAGGAACCGCTCCCACCTCTGGACGGCGTGGGAGGGATGCACTTCCCGCCCCGCCGCCAACCCACCGCCTCCCGCCCCCACCCACCTCACAGACAGGGAGACCACGGCACTGGGTCTTGGCGGCCTCTATGAGGCGAGATGCAGGCACCACAATGTTGCACGCGCTGCACCTCCATGCGCCTTCGCTTTGCTCGAAACGATGGCTAGAGGCCTGCAACTCGAGCTGCCTCCTCGACGGGGGCGCTCTCCGCTGGACCGAGGCCCGAACCCCACTCCATGGGGCGGCATCCGTCGCCAGGGCCAACGCGCGCCTCGCGCGCGCTCGAACCAGGGCGCCGATCGCATCCCAGTGGTCAGTCTGACGCTCACCCCCTTCCACCGACGCCGCCCACCCTCTCCCCGCCACAGCCCCCGCCTCTTCATCAGCCAGGGCGTTGCCCTGAATTCGGTAGGGATCGACCGGTTCGCTAAGAGAGGTGGCTTCGTCCATGTGAAAGGGGATCCACTTATGGTTCACCTCTGTCGACCGAGTCTGGAGGGCCACCCGAATTCGAGATCACAAATCTTGGTTGGCTCCGTTTTTCTGGAACTGCCGACCCCGCCCCCATGCTTTCACGAAGGGCTCGTGGTCGGTCATGATCAGAAAACGCACGGGGACACGCTCTAACGCGATGGCGAACGCGAGCAGCTCTGAACGAGGGGCCGTTTGTCGCTGCCCCCCGACAGGGGTCGATAACCCCCACGCCATCCTCCAGCCCGATGTGGCCGCCAGGCTGCATGGCGATCACCGCGGTGCCACGCCTACGCCTACGTGGGCCCGCACTGTGGGCCCCCCCCGACCTGTCTTCGAAAACCACCACACTCCTGAACGCGGTGCGCGGCTCAACTTCGGAAATCGGGAGCGGCCCCAAGGGCCGAAGATTTCCGTCCGGAAAAAAACGAGATGGGCGTAGCTCTCAGGTGGCACGCCTCAGAGCCACAGCGCGGGACACCTTTCCCACTGCGCCTGAGCCCGCTGCCTGATACACTCGCTCTTCTCGAACACTTCAAAACCGACATTGCACGGGCACTCCCAAACTCGGTGAAAGAGAGTTTCTGTGCCCTGGTGGCACCTTGGGCACAACGCGTCAACCTCGCATCCAAGGGCCGCCTTCCTTTCTCGAGTGAACTGTCTGCCCGAGACCGCCGCATTCGGGAGGCCCACTGGATCGCGCGCTTCCTTCGCGAGGAATTTGCGAATGTCACGACCAGCCAAGAGCGCGCCCCCGCCCCCGCGCTCCAGCCCCTCACCCCCATAATGAGAAGCGGCCTGGGCCCAAAACTGGGGCGACAAGTCCTGGGCCAGATCGCTGAGCAGCTCGGCGAAATCGGCGCCCCCTTGCTCGAACCCTTCTTCGCTCGCACAAGGCTGCCTCCAAACCTCGCCCCCGCTCACGGTCGGGCGGCGCCGCGAGTCCGGGGCAGACGGGATCCACCCGGCTTCGTAAAGCGACGCGATCACCGCGCTGACGCACTCGACTCCACCGCGATTTAGCAAGCCAGAGACGGGGGGTCAGATGCTTCCACGCCGCTCGGATACGGTCGTGGAGCACTGGCGAGGATTTCCAAATTAAACAAAACTCGAGGACCACCTGGCGCCGCAACGAGCCGGGGATCTTCGACCCTTGAAGTGCATGGCGAGCGCAGTAGTCAGACAACGCCGCGACCCCGCTCCAGCGATAGCCTGGCCAGCCTGGCGCCTAAGGGTTTGAACCTGGCTCGGGCTCACCCCATGCACCCGGTGCCCGCGCGCAGCTTGGGGCAGGGCCCCCGTGGTCCAGAGGGGCTGCGAAATCTTCGACAGCTTGGCTGGGCTTCCTGATGCGACGGAATCTCCTCGTGGTCTTTCCAGGCCTACTCTTCGCACGCTTGAGAACCCTAGCCTTGCCCGCCGAGGCGTCGCACCCTGGGTC